TCAATCTTAACTTTTACAAATTAACGTAATCTAATTTAATAACATATCAATAATAAGTTGTCAAATATAAATACCAAAAAGTAAATATTACTAATAAAACTTCGATGATTCATATCAACAATTCATTTGTTTCAAACTTTCAAGTCTACATAAAAATGAAATATAAATTAGAAGTCATAAAGATAAAATATTTTAAAGTATTGATAATACTTACCAACTATTTAATGTAATCATCAATTGGTTGACTTTTCATACTAACTACTAAAAAACTATACAAGAAAAAATTGAAAAAAACACAACTAACAAATATAAATAAACTCTAAATTGTTCAACTAATAAAATTTAATAAGAAAAAATTATTAATTTGTTTAGAAAAAATAAAAGAAATTGATTTATCCAATATTAAAAAAAAATTCGGTTCTTATTCGGTTCTTCGGTTTTGGGTCTAGAATCGAGAACCGAACCAAACCATTCGATTCTCGATTCGGATACCCGTTCGGGTATTTCATTTTAAAAAACCCGCTAGGTTCGGTTCGTTTCGGTTCCGATTTGGTTCGGTTCGGTTCGGTTCGGATATTTTGTCCAGCCCTAGTCCAAAGAAACTTGCCAAGCACCTAGAAAATGAAAATGGAGCGGAATCTACAATTCCATTAGTAGCAATGCATAGCAATTGAAAAGTCTTAAAGGAAGAAAATCCTCAAAAACACATTCACCAAATTGCTGAAAACTCATATCGCAAATCTGTTCCAGCCACCAAAATGAGCAATTAAACAACAATTAACCAAATCCCATATTCCAAATTCGTCCCAGCAACCATAAAGAACAATTAACCAAAAATCAAATCGAAAAACATCTAAAAATAAGTGGAAGCTTTTAGTATAAATTCTGAAAACTCACTTCTCAATTTTTTGGACTGTAATTATTGAAGAGTTGCCGAGGTAGTAACATTAGTAATATAATCATTATTATCGGTTGTTGAGGCTTGTGAGGGTGAGGTGGGGGTGGAGGTGGTCGGTGTAGATTTTGCGTTTGAGGTGGGGTGGGTGAGGGTTGAGAGGAAGAAGACGATTGTGTGTGCGTGTGTCTTATTATTATTTATTATTTAATTATTTAATGTTATAAATGGAAAGTATTCTTTTGCCCATTTTTAAAATATTAAAAATGTTGTTAAAGTTAATTTTTTTGTCAACTAAGAAAATTATGGATGAAAATTGTCCAAAACGGCTTCACCACAATATTTGGAAATGTATGGGGTGACGGATGTAACAAATCAAAGGTTTGGACAATGTCTGCTAATATTTCAAAAGTTTGGGGCTTTTGCTCTAATTATCCCTAGTTTATTTAGTTTCATATAATAATAAGAATATAGTGAAAAATACTTGAGGACTTAAGTGCAAAAATGAGAAAATATTATAAATATTTATTGCAGTTATAATGTTATTTAGTTAATAAAAATTTCAGTGGAATATAATTACCATATCATTTGATATTTTGTTTTTATCTAAACTTAGATATCATGGGGATTCATCTGTATCTTTCAATTAAAACATCTTTTAAATAAAGGTAAATATAACATAAAATATTTTTTTATCAAATTATATAGTAACATTCTGTATGCATTACTTTTATTTCATCAAATATATTATTTAGTTGTTAAGATATATGTAAAACAACCAAATGAAACAACCATTTAAATAAGAGAATATGAATGTTACTTTTTAAACTGACTAATTCAATCGATGGAAGAAATTTAAGTCACATTTTATAATAAAAGATGTTAATAAAAATTAATATGATATTAAAAAGATTAAACTAGGAATTATTGACAAATGGAAAAGAAGATGAATTTTATAAATTTCATGTTGAATAAATAGAGGGTGTGTATGAACCACATTATTTTGGAAGCATGCATCTTGGAATAGTAGATTGATGGAGAATGTGTGGTTGAAAAAGAA